GCTCACGGAAGAAAATGCACCATGGGATAAGCTGGTCACCTTCATTCCTGTTTGGGATCCTGTATCGCTGCAGCAAGTCTCCGTTTCACTAAAAGGATGCTCATTTCCGGTTACTGAGTCACTTCAAGATTACATTCAGGTACAGCTTCCAGTGATAAAGTTTTCTTATTTAAGTTTGAGCTTGTTCCATTTTTAACTGTTACGTTATGTGCATGATACACTATGCTATTTGCAACAACAGCGCCCCTCTATCTCATTTTTTAATGTCGTTTCTTAACTTTTTCAGCGACGTTGTCCAGCTCATCTTCCACAGTTTCATTCCAATCGTTGTTCTTCCCATAAGCTTCACGTTTTGAAGAACTCGAAAAAACTTTTTTTAGGTTTTCCTTACCAACGCATATATCCAACCTGGAATTGGTATACCACTTAATTATTTCGGCAAGGTTATCGAGTTAATACCTGAAATTCCACTGGAAATCTCTATGAAGAAGATGTCCATGGAAGAGGGAGAACTCGAGGTGAGAATGACGCTTTTCCACATTAAAGGGCTGAACTGATTTGTCAAGCCAGACAACGTCATCTTCATCAGCAGCGGTTGCATTGTGACGATAGCTGGACAAAATGCGCAGCCTCCTGCGTCGTCAGATAGATTGCTGCCTCTGAAAAGCATCGCAGGCATGCATACCGCAAAGAATACCCTTATGGAATTCGTGGTAAAGCCATTTCTGAGGTAATTTTAGAAGGATGTGGCAAAATCAGTATGCTAATAATGTGTTCCTTGAACTTCAGAGACAGCAGTTGCTGTTCCGTTCTGCTATGGGGTTTGCCGGGTAGCGGTAAGACTTTGCTTCTATCAGCTGTTGCCAAGGTTTTGGGCGAACGTGCATCTTACTACCACGTAAGTCCTGCGCTTTTACTTCAAATGTTCTTTCACGAAAAAATCCTTTATTGCAGTCTATGGATAAGTTTCATGAGCAATATGCCCTGATTCCTCCTGGTAATGTGGTGATAATTGATTGGCATCAGGTTGACAAAGAACACAAAGGCTTTGCAAAATTATGCCAGCTTCTTGATGATGGATCGGTCAGTCAAGCAATCATCTTCATTCTTTTCTCCTTTTTCTACGTAATCAGTTGCTCAACTTCTACTACCCCTGGAGATTATTTGTAGTGCGCAGCGATTATACTTTCGGTTCGTCAAGCTGAAGATCTAGATCTTGGCATCAGGGTGCGGTTTCCAATAGAAGTAAGTGTATTGAAAACTGGTGCTCACTGAAAATGCGAAATCCAAATGTAGGTTGAAGTTGACGTACCCATGGAAGAGGAACGTCTTGAGATTTTGACGTCTCTGACCGGACATTCAGCTGACAATGACCTCATAGAATTAGCTAGGCGAGCGAGCTTTTCCTCTTTGTATCTTTGAAGCATCAATGTGTGCTTTTTCCAGGCGAACTCACGGTTTTACTGGAGGCGATCTCAAGTCGATAGTCACTGCTGCCCGATTTACAAAAGGAGATACCGAAAGCGAAAGATTGGAAAATGCGCGGAAACGAGTGCGACCTACAGGCATCCGGCAGTTCATACTAGAGGTATGTCCATTTATGAAACTTGCACAGCCTCTCTTTGAGCTTATTTTGGGCCGCAGGTTCCTCATGTGCGCTTCGATGATATAGGTGGAAACGAAGACCTGAAGCTTGAAATTCAACAGGTGAGCCTTTTCCTGTTACGTGAGAATCAAAGAGTGTTTCACTTCAGGCGGTCATTTGGCCCAGACAGCATAAGGATGCATTT